GAAAACTCAGTAGAAAACCATTGCTGGTCAAAAGGAGGCGGTTGAAAAGAGAAGGATGCGTCGTCTCAGAAATGAAAGCGGATTAATCTAGTGGTTTTAGGGTGGCTATCGCAAAATTCTACCACTGTGTTTTACTCTTCCAACATCTTTTAAAAATTTCTCGCTAGGTGATTTGAAGATTTAAGCAGCTTACTGCGATTTTTAAAGTTTTCAAGGGCATCGAATAGACACAATAATAAGTAAAGCTGTTTGAGAAAATGCTTATAAAATTCCACCTGATTCCTTGAAGCTTCAAAGCTCGTGCTTTTGAGAAAATTTCGTTGGCGTTGAACCCGAATTTCATAAAGTTCTGAAATAAGAACGAGCACTAACGCGAAATTCAATTTGCATGCCTTGAAAGTTCGTGGAAGTGGTCGAAAATCTCAAGCCAGTGCAACGACTTCGAGTAAACGAACTTTCCTACGTAACACTCAAAGTAGTAATTTTTTAACATCCAGGGTGGCGTTTCGAAAAGCTTCTCAAGGACACGTTAGGCTTAAGATTAGTGCAACAACCCGCAGTCTTGGAGACTCGATATTTTCTATCGAAGCTTGGTAGGTAAGGCTTTACCCTACCAGTAAAGTGGGGTTTTCCTTGCAATTGCGCCGTTGTGTCTCGCCTGAGAGAACTCGGGCTGGTAAAGATGGCATACATTTCGTAACTCCACTTATTTATTGCTGTCCTGTCCATAACCAGGTACTAAAAAGGACTATGGCCCATGAGAGCTCAGAATGAAGCCCTACCCACTAGTAGTCCTTGTCGAAACTCAAGTGACTCTCTGTTTTGGAAGCTCTAATGGATCCTTGGCGAGCGGGTATTTCCAAGAAGGAAATTATCTTCGCAATCGAAGAACGATGTGGTTCAATCCTAATGAAGGCGAGCAATTTTCCACGCCAAATTAGCAATGTTCCGGTCTGGTGAGCACCACTAACTTTAACTGTGAAATTTGCCATAAGCTTCCGCTTTCGTTCTTCGTCCATTCATTAGGCAACGGATTCATTATCTAGTAAGGACGTCTTGCTCTGAATTATTAACAAGGCTAACGTTCACGATCTCATCACGTGTCATAGTTTCAATTACACATTCTTCTCCATTGAACCATTGTCTCAGTTTCCTTATGGGGAAGACAGTTGCTGCATATATGGCAATCATTTATAAAAATATTATTCAAGGAAATCGCAGCTAGAGTGGACAACACCGTTGAAAACTTGAAGGACACCATATTCGAAATCAACGCTGCTAAGAATGTTGGCAAAGCCCTCTTCCAGAGTGACATTCTGCTGACAAAGTGGGTGGCTCGTTTTGTTTCAGCATACATGATGTTTTTCGTGGAGCAATAGTTTTTAGGAGGCAAGTTGAAGAATTTATGGAATGTGTCGCGGGAGGCCGAGCTAGGAGACAAGCGTTTAACGATCAAAATTACCCTCTAACCACTTGGCAACAGGGAGTATTCTATCGCTCTGACAACAGCAACAGGTAGTGTTAAACGGGTGCCCCCCGCCCCACTGCCTGGTGTTGTAACGGTCTGATAATTCGTTGATTCATAACCTCTCCGAAAATTGACATTATTTAGACTATGTTTACTAGCTGAAGCATTCGGATTTCTGGAAGAAGCTAAATAATGGGAAAGAGAGAGTGAGTGTGAAGAAGCATAAGGACAAAGAAGGCCGCGGAGAAGAAAAAAAAAAAATATCATGCAACGAAAACGGTTGCCAATAAGATGACAATCATTTACGATTTTAGCCGAAAACAGTCTCATACTTATCAAAGAAGATGGATGTTGGTCGTTCGTGGGTCGTCACGGTGGTGAGCAACCCCTTTCGCTCGGCAAAGGCTGCGAAGAGGTTACGACTTCAGTGAGCATTATATCACTTTACACCCAACGCGCCTTCCAAGAGACTTTCATATTGATAACTAGTGCTCAGCTATAGATGTGAAGTCGCTTGCAGGAATCGCTACACACACGAAATTGGCCACGCCCTTGGACTTTTCCATACCATGTCGCGCTACGACCGAGATGATTTCATTACAATTGTGTTTGAAAACGTTAAGGTAGGTCCACCCCTTCCCCACGAAGGGCAACGGGAGAAAACTCTCAGCCTTCCAGGACGAGTTTGTGGATCAAACACAAGCCACCTGAAGTCACAATCTAACTATGGATTCATCGTACCGATTATGGGCAGTTTATGCACTACGCGCTAGCAGCCAGGTGAGGATGAAGACCCCACAAAAATCTCATGAGTTTTGACTGAGAGCTAATGAATTAGGATATTACAGCGCCTTTCACAACAAGAAGCCTACAATGGTTGCCAACGACACAAGGTACCAAGAGTCCATGGGCTCGCAAATAATTTCTTTCATTGATAAATCCATGATCAAATGCAAAGGTAAGCAAAATAATGTGTATGCTTTTTAGAGAAGGTGATAGAGCTTGCTGTTTAGCGAAATGTCCCAAAGCGACCTCCGCCAAGTGCCAGAATGGTGGATTCCCCCATCCACGAAAGTGCTCGGAATGTATTTGCCCAACAAGGTTATGGCGGCGCTCTTTGTGACCGACGAGTTAGATGAATGTAGTCCAGTGATAAGCTCCATCACCAAATATATTTTTTTAGCCGTCTGGATGCGAAAATATATTGAAAGCCAAGGAAAGCAAGCAATTCCTCATACGGACAAAAACTCTTGGCTTCCCTTGTTTGACGTCAGCGGAAAAACTTAGGTTCCTGACAATCACATCCGATGGGTCGAAGTGGGCGAAGATACGTTTGTTTGTCATCTTTTTGCTGAATCGAATTCCAAGCTTTCCAGGCTCCTGAAGGAAAGAAGATTGAAATTAAAATCAACTCCATCTCACATGGCTACGCTTTCGACGGCTGTAAATTCGGAGGGCGTCGAAATCAAATCCAGTGAGGACCAAACTCGAACCGGTTACCGGTGACAAGGGGAGACCTAGTTCTGCATCTGATAATTATCCTGGTGGTAACTGTAACTTTCGAGTCCCCGAATTTTCCATCTGTGGTGGTTCCAAACTTATTGAAGAGTTGAACTGTTGCTCATAAGAGCTTCCCTGATACGGTTAGACTGCCGCTAGATGTAACGTGCCAGAGCCCCTAGTGAGTTCAATTTGAGGACTGACAAAGTGAAGTAGTTATTTCACTAGTTTTGAGAACTTCATGAAATTTTGGTTTCATCAGGAAGAAGACGCATTTATACGGCCTTCCTCTCACATAGAGCATAGAAAGCATATGAAAATGGAGCGACTCGGAAAAAGTGGATATGTCCTCGCGCTCACACGGTCCTCATAATTTTGGCCCAGCCTGTATACATAAACTCAATCTATGAGTTATATTTTGCAGCCTTACAGTACTTCCCTTTGAACTTCGCTGTCATCAAGAAGCTGTTCTGGGCGACAAGTGTATTCTGTCTACCGACATGGAAAGACCATTAAACACAAATGATCACTTCAAATCAGCACGACATCTTAGTATAATTTCAATTGCCATCTTTCAGGTAAACTCAACTTGACATCATCGCAAACCTCACAACGAGCCTCTCTGCCCACAATTAGCGCCGCTAATCAAACTAACTGAACAGTGCAAAAGGATTTCATGTATGGTAGAAGTTCGAAACGAAGACAAAGGGAGATTTTTCTTCACTTAGTCGATGTTTTGACTTTATTCTTCAAAGACGCTTTGGTAAATCTTTAGACTTTGACACTGTCGGCCATCCCTCATACAGAGCTTCTCGATGCACGTTTAAGAACGTGATTCGCTAGAGTGTAAAAACGCTACCCAGAGCCCTTAGTGAGTTCAGTTGAGCTGACGTTGAGGCGAAGGATGTATTTCAATAGTTTTCACATAAAATACGCTGTAGCTCACTTTTTACCATTGCCACTTGGTAAAAAATGGACGCCGTGTACGTACTTGTATGTGGAACATTTTTACTTGATATATTTAAACAACATGTATAGCAAGACAAGCGTTTTTTTGGAGCCATAGATGCTCTGCCGCGCGCAAAAACTTCGTGGTTTAAGGACGAATTCACACGATGAAAAAGCAACCCATTTCAAATTAACCTAGGGATGGTGAGTGGTACACGAAAGAAGGAAGAACCATGAGAAACGGCCCAGAACCGAGAAATGGTACCCCTTCCTTGCCCGTTGATTCGAGCATTGATGCGACTCTCATCGCTGTGCCCTCTTCAACACTACGCTCTCTCAGCTATCTAATCACTCGCCACGTATTGAACTACGGCGAGTGATCAGATGATCGGTGGGCGGAGATCGCCGGACCCGCCAGCTTTGAGGCATGATAGGTCGCCGAGGTCAAATTTTTCCATGCGAATTGCGCGTCAGTTCGCACCCTCAGGAGGTCCGTGGGTCCCTCAACTAGGTCAGTTTCCCTTTCTTCGACCTTCATTCTAATCGTGAATTCCTCCTTTAACTTATTCATATA